ACATCGGCGATAACTGTGCCGAAAGTTAGTGCTAGCCAGAAACAGGTTGTGGTCTGTGCATATTTGCAGTAGACGTTCCCCGTTATCTGTCCTGCGACGAACGAGTCCCCATCGGCCACCTAAACGACTCTCTTCTGTGCCTAGACGCCCGACCTGAGCATTCAAGTCCCCGGCTAGTACTACAATATCTGTCGAACGCACTTTCTGGAGAAGAACAGTTAACTTGTGGTAGAACTCATCCTTGATTGCATCCGGGCTGCAATCTGTCGGGGCATAGGCGGAGATGACGAAAAGAAATTGTTTCTCACGCCGATTTCTTCTCACTTTGATGGAACTTTCTAATCTAACAGCACATAACCGACTGTTAATGGGGATCCAGTCGACTAGTGCTGCCTCAGCTCTTGCGCTTAGTGCGACACCAACGCCAGCAAGACCAGACGAAGATGCCACAGGGTCGCCGGATAAACGCACATAAAACAAGCTTTTTGAAGTGACAGATGGAGAGCGAACTTGTAGTACTTCACCAGAGTCTTGAATACGGGTCTCGGATAGACAACACACGTCAATATTAAGACTTTCCAAAGACATAGCCAGCCCTATCTGTTGTCCGACCGGCACAAGTGTGCGAACGTTGAAGGCAGCCAGTTTGAATGGTGCACGTGGTTTCAGAAAAACTGCTTCAGTACTCGTATTCGGTGGTAACATACAATTTTTTTTCTATTAAAAAAAATTGATACTCATCGAAGTGTAAATACAAACACGTCACCAAATGCTGGGACATGACAAGTAAAGGTAGCCTTAGAGTAGACTGGAAAAGTCTGCACAATAATCAGGAATAAGAAAGAGTGACAGAAAATCACAGCAATGTTTAGAAGCACCAGACAGTTGTTTATCTTGATTGACGAAGGTTAAAGTCAGTTATTAGTGAAACTGTCTGTGAAAGTATAAAAATCGTGATTCCGTCCCGCACTCTAACTTTTATTGCTAGGCAGTAGGTTCAAACCACGTCCCATATAATTCCGCAGCTGAAATCTCGGCACCGATTAAGTTCCGTTGGCTTTTGCCAACTTATGTTGCTTATCGTTTAGGTGAAATATCCATGTCTCCCAAATAAAGGAGGAGAGTACTACACAACAGTTCTGACTTTTCTACTTTGTGACTATGAAACTTACCCTTTAGAAGTAGAGGATATTTGTAGATCAATAGTATTTAGTTACAGATGTCTTCGAAGCATTACTCATGTATTTTCGGACCATTGAGTGAATGGTGTCTAAGTTAGGAGTAGGGTACCAAGTAAGGATGGTAAATTAGTTGGTGCGACAGTGAGTCTTCACTGACAGGTGTTTGGGATGTATATTGTGTCCAACTACCCCCTCCCTCTATGAGAGGTGACAGTGGGTACAGGAAGAAAGCTAGCTGTGGCCAAACTAAGACATGACATTAGTCCATGAAGTCATTAACTCTTGATCTGAGGCATGTTATCAGATGCAGAGATTACCTGATCGCGGTCAGCACAATTATAGAAACAAATAGTTAAGAGCATGGCTCAGAATTGTTCGAAACGGAGCAGGTGCATTCTCTATCTGTTTTCCCTTAGATCCTAGTTTTTCAGATGATCTTAAAATGCTTTCTATTCCAGGAATTCATACTTCCGACGCCTAATGTTTTATATTACCATCAATATGATTACTACTCTTATTACTCTGGAACCTGTTTTGACTATTACATTTTATATATATATATATATATATATATATATATATATATATCGCTTGCAGGAATCATTAGATCATCTCACGTGAGTGAGATCCCAAGGAGACTATCCAGAATAAATTACCAAGAGACAGATACGTAAATCGCTCGATAAAGAGAAATTCAACTTGATAAGAACTCGTAGATTGTGTTAAATCTATAATACGAAGTCCAGAGATACCGTTTCGGCCAATAGAATGGGTTGAGAACTTACAATGGAGAATGAAAGTCGAGGTTTGATTTCAAAGAGGGACTGATTCAGTATTGGAGAATAAAATAAAATGTTTTTCCCACTGAGATCCTGGTGATTTAATTTACTAAAAACTGCTGATAATGTAGTGTCGACTACGATTAGGCCGCTTGATCAAGTACAACACGTAATATATAGCTTCTAGGCTTTTTATCTGTTAAACTTTATACAAACTGTCTAGTAAAAAGATAAACGGATACTTGGTAATTTGTAATATGAAAAACCAAATTGAGTAAGTTCATCAACTGGAATCCATGGAGTTACAGTGCGAAGGTCCTGCTTCGGTTTGGGCACCCGGGCAGTATCACAGCCCTCACACAAATCAATTGAGCTTTGTGTGGCGCATATGTATTTTGGTGCCTCCCTGTACCTATACTTATGTGTTAAAATAAATAAAATAAATAAATACAGTGCGAAGGTAGGTAAGGAGCAAGCGATCTTCTTACAATAGCAAAGTGCAAGTCCTTTAAATCCTTTCATGAAGTCCAGCCAACAGTTACTTGCAAGGAAGGGTTGAGGAGCTGACAGAAAGGAGCATAAGAATACTATCCACGTGAGTATTATCAAGTGACTATTTTGGAAATGTTGATTCAAGCACTTGTAATTTAAAGTCAGTAAGTTACCATTAAAACAAGACATGAGACGAGTGTACATAGAGGCACCAAGTACATATGCGCCACACAAATCTCAATTGATTTGTGTGAGGGCTGTGATACTGCCCGGGTGCCCAAACCGAAGCAAGTGGTTTTCTTAGGGGGCCACACCCCTAGCCTTCGACCTGAACGTCTGACCCACAAGGCAGTGGAGCATCGTGAGGAGATGCAGTCCCATGGTAGCCGGTGACCAACGATTGGTTCATACGCCATTTGTTCCCTCAGGCAGGATACTGGAGCCCATGTGCACCATTGGTATGAAATCCGGTTAAAGCGCCGGACATCCGCTTTTCGTCCTCTCATTTTTGTAAACAACACCCCCGCCACGAGAAGGCAGTGAGTAGGACTTCCCTGGCAGAGGCTATATACGCATGGCCATGTGAGAGCATTTCGAGAGGGAGAGCGGACTCTCCCCACTATCGGCCGTACCAGGGCATTTGGGGGCAGCGACACATTGTTCTGAATCGCTACATCACATTCACATAGATGAATGGGCAAACTAATCGGACTTATAATATTGCCGATAGAAGGAAAAAAGACTCAACATTGACATAAAGGTAAAAATAAACATATATCAAGTTAGTTATTTTGAAAACCCGTGTGATTTGACCGTAAGAAAGGAGAGCAGTTGTATCGATCTACTCCGAGTATTGATTGATTCATTTAGACTGTAGATCTAGTACCATAGACCTTTGGATCGTGGACACATGCTGCTGAGGAGTCCCGTACTATGACGAAACGACCATCAAGTGTTTCCAGGTTATCAATAGTGGTCTAGCTTAGATAGACTGAATTCGGCTGTTAAAATTACTACAATCTCCCCAAATCCCCACTCTGATATTTAAGGAGTCACAATACAGGGATAACCATGTCATCAGTGGGAGAGGGCTGAGTAATAGGTCCGTAATAAAGTAATAGTAGCTAAAGAAGGGTACAACACATAACATCGATTTATGCATCACGGGGAAGTTTGAAGGTAGAAGGAAAAAATGCAATAGTTTGAGTTGATAATTACACAAAATTATAGACAATAAATTCGGAAAGGACTGTTCAACTTTGCTGAGTATCTATCTCATTAGAGAAAACACAAAGAATATAGTTTGAAGTGACAAAATCCACTCGTTTGGTAAAACAGCATTTGACCTCACGATTTAGGGACAAATGAATGCATTCATTCCACTAGACCAATTTCGAACTATCTCACACAAGGTCTCCAACTACTGATCGCACTTATTGTACTGATCCCAAACAGGTAGTCTACCACTGTATGGATAAGACCAACCGTCAATGAATTCATGGTGCAGTTTTCTTGCTCTCATAACTCTTAGTGGACTTTAAGTCCATTATTATATTAACCAGAAGGTTGACAAAAACCAAATCATCTTTTCGTATACACGATACGATTTCGTCAGGGACAGACCCATAAAGACAAGTGAAGTAGTCAGCCACTCCGATCCCTATGATTAAATATATGCTGACGTAGACTAGCCTTGAAATAAGGTTTCGGATTTAAAGAAAGAGAATCATAATCCAAACATTATTATTTTGTTATTGAGGGAGTTCAGAACACTTGAAGTTTCGTCAGCATTCGCATCAATCAGAACTATGTTACTTGCTAACTAAATTAATGTGAATCCCTAAATAGGTGGAACTCTAATGATATCCAAACAGAGCTTATTTTCAGTTCAAATCACAAACAGTTCCCAGCTAGACCTGGAAGCACTAGATTGAAGATATGAACACCGTTGGACACCAACCCGGTGGTCCAAAGATTAGGCGTTTGTGAGCGAGGCCGAGGACCCCGAGTTTCATTCCCGCGTCCAGGATCGTGGGTGCCCAATGCTAGGGAGTCTCATACTGAGATGAAACGATCGTCCAGTCCATCCGAACTTTCAACGTTTGTCTAGATGAGGTCAGTTCGTGATTCATACTGAAAATTCCACAAGTCATCTACAGTATTATAGCATGTTTGTCAAGGAAATGGTGATGCTACTAATGGACTGTAAATATACTCTTAGAATTCTAGTGAAATACAGTGTCAGTCGTGTGTAATCCAGCGTGATGAGTTCCACACTTTTTTTATATTACTTTTCTTATTATCTTTGTCTCCTCTCTTCCATTTGTTTAGTTGACCTCTCATTTTTATATATGAATGTTCTTAACAAGTATATACATGATCAGATTGTTCGAAATGTATTACGCTAATATATCACATAGTCCTGGTGACTTTCGTCTTCTCATTACAATATCTAAACTCATATTTATCAACTTTACCGAATAAATTTGTCACAAAGTAACTCATGGGATAGGATAAATCTTTTCTTACTGTAAACAACATACAATGAATGGGGATGTTTTATATTGAACAACGCGATTAAAAATATTTCATTTACAGTAAAGATCCGAGCGTTTCTGAAATTTGTTTGTAACACAATAAGTTAAAAAGGAGTTTGTTCAGATATTTATTTTAGGGATAAAAAGTGGATTAATCGACCAACATACTCAGGATACGTCAGATACAGTATTCATAACACCGATGGGTCATTCATATGCCTACAAGAAATGATGAAGAAATACACCAATGCACTTTGTTACGTTAAGTATGAGATATGGGTTAAGTGGGAAACGTGAGGCCGTAAAATCATGTCATAGAAGCCTACGAAATGTTATCTGAGTCTCATACCCTCAAATGAAGATTGTTGGGTCTTCTAAGTAAATGGCGTATGTCTGTGGAACTTATGGACCTGAAGAGACTTGGGTATGTGCGGCGAATCTACAGACATTCTCTACCAAAACTGTGACTAGATAAAGGTCCCAAGACATCACCAAGCCACTTAGGTACTAAGGCTTCAATAGAGACAACCTGCTTGCAGAACTGAACCTGCCTAGTTACATGGAGTAAATACATATTCTCATGCAAAGGAAGACATATGTAGCACTTTCAATAACAGCTTTTAAGTGCTGATTGCTCAAAGGGAAAGTATGTGCTTCACGAATATATCGCTTATTCTTGGCTTTTGAACTTCCCTGTTACGTCATAAGTTTTTGCGACCTAGACTGAAGAGAAAACATCAGATATAAGAGCATTTCTTAATGTCCTACACATTTTAAGCCATTCAATGTGAAGTAGGATAGTGTAATACAATCTAGCTCCCAAAGCTATTCATCATCGGGAAAAGCGACCATCTTCATAACAGAGCTAAATGGTTGTCGTTGGTACCTGGAGCATCTACACAAAGGTTTGACACGAGTATGGTTCTCTACTATTCAGTGAACATACATTTCATAAACGGATTGATAAGAAGAGTAGATAATCAAAGGTTAAAAATATTTTCTACTTAAGAGGTTCGATCTTCAAGGTAAACTTATCTGGAAACAAGATCGACAAATAAACATGTAGTATTTATTACGATAAAGTTTAATACATATGGAGTAAGTTAGCGGGTGAACAAATGAGAATCAATGCGACTTCCACTACTATAAAAAAGAAAGCAACGTCAACAATTACTTACATATATTTACAACAAAAAGTCGATGGTAAAATAAAAACGCTCAGTTACTTAGTACAACTACATAACACGCTTGCGTTTTCGAAGTTCTTCGGGAGCATTTTCATTTTCTTGTGCATAGAACTTCTTTAGCAGTTTAACAGCTGCCTCTGCTTCAACTCCGGATATGCAGTTTAGTGGAGCGACTGGACTAGGAGAATTGTGTACACTTAGGACTGAACCACATCCACCGAAGCGTTCATTACGAGCACCATATGTAATACTAGTGACAAAGTCAAAGTAAGAAATAAACTTACCTTTTCAGATGAGCTGGAAGACAAAACCGTAATGCAGCCGTACACATAATGCAGGGTTCCACTGTAACAAAAAGGTCGCATTCGGTCAAAACCTTGTCAAGCTCCTTTCCGTTATTTCGGCACCATTGTTCCAGTCGTCTAATAGTCACCATCTCAGCATGTTGAGTAGCATCTCTAGTTGCATTCACCTAGAAATCACAAAACTCCTACTAATCAGTTACTTCGTTGCGACCAGATGCAATCACTTCTCCATTATAAACAAAAGCACATCCTACTGGAACTTCGTTACATTTGAGTGCTTCACAAGCCAATTCGAAAGCAATATCCATGCGAACATTCCTTCAGGAACATTGACCGCACGACCTTGAGGATGCCGAGCATCAAACAGTTCTGGGTGGAAGAGAAGAAGCTTTCACTTAACGGGCTTCCATATCCACCTGGATATATATGACGATAAAATAAGAAAAAGTAGTTTGTAGAGAGATGCTGTCCTTAAGAACACGTCAAGTTTTCTCTTGAAGGAATTTGCAAAGTTGCTTGAACCAGCTCAGCCGGCAGCGAATGCAAGCATTTGACTACTCTTATGGAGTAGAAAGTGTATCTACAGTCCGTTCTGCTGTGTTGTGTTTCCAATTACTGATTATTACTCCTAAGGTTTGTGTTGGGACTAAGCCTTAGTAGGTGTTTAAGTTGATGCACAGAAGTGATTGGAACACTGTAAGTCATTAGAAAGTTACCTCTAAGACGCCTTTACTTCAATTAATAAAAGATCCAGTGACTGAACGCGCTCTTTATTAGGCTCGTCGTTCTATACGTTCCAGAGTGGCCCTAACCTTTTGGAATGAAGGACCAAATACTGTTTTTGTACTGTAAATTGGGTCAAACAAAACTGTTGAAGATTATGTGTCAAGTTCTTCCGTCAGACTGGCCGAAAATGTGCTTCAGCGTCATTTGTGTAAGGTCTGCTTGGGAGGCATTTTTGTTGTAGTTAGTGTAAGTCTTCAGGTCACGGGGTACCAACATTTTCAAGCCCTTTTCAACTTGGGATACCTCTAGAGGGGAGTTGCTTAAGTTGTAGTTGTAGTCTGCAACATGTCTCAGATGGAATACTTTACACTTTGAAGTATTGAAGGTAAGTCCGTTGTCGCCTGCCCAACCTTGAAGTCGAGTCATATCCTCTCGTATTGGTTGCAATCTTCTCTCCAGAGTTTCACCTCATCAACGAGAAGCAATAAATCTGACGGTACCTACCATGGAATATCGTTTATACAAATCAAGGAAAGAAGATTTTCTGATGTGGTGTGTGCTACTAATGTCGACAGATATAAGTAGTGTGTATCACCAGTAAAAAGTGAAATACCTGGAGGCAGAAGGTTAAGAAGACCAAAGAAAAGAGAACGAAAACAAATAATGATTGGCATGGAATCGAAAGACTTATAAAGTCTAAGACAGTGATTGACATTTGCAGGAGGAACAGTCAAATTTGAGATAAGTGATTGAAATTTTGCAAATGAAGTATTTACTGTGTGGTTCTCAGATTTCACTAAGAGGTTTTGTAATTTTGTGTCCAAATACATTCGATTGTCACCATTTGTGTTATCGTTCACTACACCAGTACTGAACCTTGGGGGACTCCACTAAGACATTCCATAGCCTGAGGGAAAGTGAAATTAAATCCTACCCAAAACATCGATTATTAGATGTGAAATAAGCTATTCGACTAACGGAAACTTGATACCTGATTGTTTGAACTTATTGATAAAACACATATGATTAGACCTATTAAAAGCTGATGCGAAGTTAAGATAGATGACGCCAACCTTCCCCTTGTGATCAAGGACGGTTGTCCATCTGTCCACGGCAGTCGGTAGGCTGGTTGTACAAGAGTGACCTTTTCTGAAACCGTACCGTTTGGGTGAAAAGAAGTTTATGGATAGCAAATAGTCATGTATACCGTTGCATATCAGGGACTCTACAGTTCTTGGGGGTATTGAGAGGAGTACTATTGACCTGCCTCGACTTGGCGAATGTGACAACATCACTAAGCGATGTTGCCAAGATTAAAGCTGATTCCTTCAGTAAAGCAAAATGGACCATATCCGGGTCAGGATGATTCATGGTATTATGGTCTGGTTCGGTAGTGGCACGTTCATCTTCGTCACTATTATGATAAACCTGATCCCAAAATTGTGGATTTGTCATTACGTGATTACCTAATGTATAAGATCTTACGTGAAAGTCACATCATTGTCCACACTGACTCGTCGTATCATGACAATTAACAATACGATGTTTTTTTCACTTTTGAAGAACACATTAAGGTTGAGGATAAAATAATATATTTTAATGTGAATAGGGGTTTGTTACACGGATGACCACGTCTGCATGATTGATCTTTACCATACCGATTAATTGTTCCCTCATTCACCATTGTTGACATTCTCCTAGTGTTACATATTAAATGTCAATCTTCCCAGTAATTATACGCTCAGCTTCAAAGATCGCGTGGTTAGTGACCAACACCACCACAAAGTGTCCCTTCTTAGGTACTGCGGTTTCCGATACACGAAGCCAAACCACAGGTTCCCTTCTGAGCGTCCTGTGGAGTTGCAGGTGAAGCTTTCGTCAATGTAGTTAGTGTGGGTCGGTTGATATGTCTAAACTTACTGTTCTACCAGAGGGTCAGCGTCGTCACCGCTATTATTGATCAGATCATTAGGATCTAGTAGCTAGCTTTTCGGGTTGGATACATTTTTATCGATAATCTTTATCCAATATTGAAACCTGTCTTCTCTTCTCGCCTTTGTGCATTGTTTCCTTGCTTTTCTGAATTGCTTGAATGCACTGTTGTTACCAGTTCGTTTGTGTTCCGTTCAGTAGTGCCTTTCGTGGCTTGGTAAACAAAGAGTGCGATTCTTGACGGTCGTAGGTTGCTAGTAGTTCTTGGGGACAGTTTCCGGAGCAGAATACTATTTAGCACATAAGATCGTGTGTAGTGAGAAATTCTAATGAGTATCCACATCAAGTTGAGGGTGAAATTCCCAACCCACCCTCTGTGGATTGTCTTGTAGAACTGACACATCCAACTGTTTGAAATTCCTGCGCCTGTTGTCTGTGGAATGTCTTAGTTCAGTTTCGTTGATAAACCTGAAGGCTATGACGGCATGATTACTTTTATCTAGAAGAGCCAAGAGTGAGAGGTTGTCAGTTAAGAGTTGTTCGATTGTAAACACACATTCTGAGCGTGATGGTGTCTGACTAATTCTACCACAATTTACTGGCTTGACATTTTCGAATAATCCTAGATCTTCAGTGAGGTTGAAGAACCGGGCTTCAGTAGGGTTGTCACTCCCAAAGTACGTATGTTCCGCGATATTGATTTGGGAAGATTGAAGTCTCCTAGAATCAGGAGTACTTCCGAGACGAGTAGAGTGGGATGATCCTCCCAGCATAGAGTTGTCTTACTCGACGGGACAAAATGTTATTTAGTGTCATACGCACAATAATCGTCTACTTATTCTGGAAACCGTACTCTTCTTGCAGAACGCGTTGTTTTGAGTCTGTTTTCGGATACCGCTAAAATATAATCGTGATTGTTGGCTATCGGATGAAGTATCGTAAATGTAGAAGTCCTGTCATTCAATTGTACCGGAGGAAAATCAATATGAGTAGGACTTCTTATTAAATAGGCGGCTTTGATGCGATCGATGCTGATACTGTTCCGTTGTTATCGATTATATATTACGTAGGCACATGCTGAAGAACTTTGAAGGGTCCTTCTTAGGGTGTTTTGAGAGGTCGTCGGACCGAGTCATGACGTGCAAAGACGTGTGTACTATATCGTAAGGTGGGTTTAATGAAAACATCAGTTGACTAACGTCGGGTGGAAACAGGTTTAACTGAAGGTTTTGTGTTTTAGGTGTGCTCATATAGGAGTTCAGGTTTATATCTATTGAAGACGAAAAATCCACTAATTCTTCTGGAAGTCGGAACGTCGTTCCATAAACGAGTTGAGCTGCAACGTATCCAATGTCAGCTTTCACTGCATGGCGAATACCAAAACCGTTCTGCTATGAGCTTGATGGTTGCACGAACACCAGGGTGAGAAAGTTTGTGCAACGTATTAAAGAAGTCGACAATGTTTCGGCACGGTTGGACGATCCCTACCTAAAGAGGTGTCGCACAGTAAAGTTTCCTTACCTTCACACATATGTTTAGTTAGGAATGTTAGGGTTGGTGAAGATAACTAGTGCTGAAGATCCGCGTCTTGTTTTCGAACCTGGGCGAGTTTAAGAAGGTTAATTCCTTGGAAACTGTCCAAGGAATTTATACGAGACAGGGCATCTTCAACTACATTGTTTGCTTCGGAAATGTATGTCTGAAGTAAACTGAGAAATGTAGCCCAGTTATCAAGACTCTCGGGTTGAGTACTTATCTGAAGCAGAGCTTAAAGAGAAGGTAGGAGGTTTATGATCTGTGAAAAGTGATTTCTCGGCCTTTAGCAGTGTTGAGAGTGCCGTACAGCACAACACATGGCTAAGAGTTCCCTATCAAAAGTGCTATATCTCGATCCAGTGTCTAGTTAATGTCTCGAGAAGAATGCCGAAGGTTGCCAGGTGTGATTAACCCATTATTGTTAGGCTCCTTCGATTGTCGTGGCCGATGCGTCTACCGCAATTATAATGGTTGCTTGAGTGTCCTAGTGTGTAAGCGTGGTTGCTTTTGCGATAAGTTCCCTAATTGTGGAGAATGCTTGCCGCGCGGTGTCGTCTAAATTGATGGATTTCGCATTTCCACGAAATTAGTCGGTTAACAATTTCATAAGGGATGCGCGATTTGGTATAAACCGTCAGTAGAAACTTACAAGACCGTTAAACGTACATAACTGCCTGATTGTGGTCGGTTCTGGGTAATCCATAATGGCCACCACTTTGCCTTTCGGAGGTTGGATGCCTTAAGCGTCAATAATGTGTCCCAGGAAACCTAAGAATTCAGCTCCTATTTAGCATTTCTGAATGTTCGCACTAATGCCATGTTTTTGCAGTCTTTGAAAAACAATGTCCAGATTCTGGGGATGGGATTCTCTGTCCGGACTTGCTATCAAGCAGTCATCAAAACAAACATTTACGAAGTTTAGACCTCGAAAAACGTCATCTATGAACCTCGGGAAGGTCTGGGAGGCATTTCTTAAGCCAAACGACATGAGCAAAAATTCGTAGTGACCAAAAGAAATGATGACAGCGGTTTTAAGAATGTCGTTAGCAGCCATGGGAGTTTAGTTATAGGTTTTAACCAAGTTGATTTCCGAAAAAACAGTTGTACCTTTCAAGGTAGCCGTCAACTCGTGAATATGAGACAACAGGCAACGATCGGAAGTGGTTT